AACGTCTGCGACTCGAGACGATATGTCTCCCCTTGCTGCCCCAAGTATTCAAATATTGTCAAATTGGACTGAAGTGCTTCTTGAAGTGCACTCTCGCGCTGTGAATATGAATGCGTCTTCACGGGATGCGTGAGAACAGCAGGCAATTTCCACGAGCTCGTATAGCACAATCCGCCACTGTATCGAACACGGTCAGCAGAAATTCTACAGGGGAAAACCAGGCGGTCGTTTCCTACCTGAGAATGAGCCAATTACGGAATGGATCGTTCCCAACAATAGCTTGGCTTGTAGAGCTATTGGCGAAGCGGTTTGGCTTCACTTCAGCAAATATATGCAGGGAGCAGAGACAACGGAGTACGCGAACTGTGATGGTTTTCAACATACGTGCAAAACAGGCATCATATGCCACTCACCAAGCTTTCCTGCGTTGATACCTGTGAGATGACTGATGTCCTGGATGTCCATTCCCGAGCTCGGGTCTGCCTCAGCGAGTATATCGAATACCCTTGCTTCAGCAACGATGTGCAAGGCACGGGCAGAAAAATACGAGAAAGAAATTTCGCTAAGCCGCTCCAGAGGATCTTGCACTAGATCTGCACACATGTCGCAAGCACCGAGGATGATGCGGCGTGCCTCGAATAATTCATGTGAGGGAACTTCACCAGTGACAGGGCCAGGGAGATAGGGCTGGTCCTCTGCCTCCCATTGTTTGATGATAGTCTCAGAAGCATCCACAAGGATTCGAATGAGAGACCGAAGTGTCTCAGCCTTCTTTGACGACGAATGAGCCATGAAAGCAGCTATTGGATTACAGGTGTTGGTGCGGCCTTTGGAGGTTAAGCCCACAGCTACTCTTAGATCGGGTCGCCACGGTTATGGTTTGGAACACAGTTACGTACCACTGGTGTTCGCAAATGGAAAGACCAACTTGAGGCGCATGCACATGCAGTGGTGCCTGACGGTGGCACAACTGAATCATTGGCACTATATACGGACCGCATCGGTGCCAGTATGGCATTCGTGGGTACAATGATCATTTGTAATGTCACACCGAATGCATATGACACAATAGCCACACCAGCTCAGACCGCGGAACTGGCACAAGGAATGTGTATCTTCCTCGATTATCGACATACTCCGAATAGGCGGCCTCTACCATAGTACCAATTTTATCAACAAGTGTTAGCGTCCTCAAGCAACATGAAAAACAACATGCATAAGCGCACCCTGAGATATATCTCGTCTGTAACCTGCTGCTCGAACTGTGCGTCAACGAATGCAAGCGATGGCGAGTGCAGCGGTAGGGCTTATACCGCCAGTAGTGTGGAACGATAGCCATATTCTCACCAAATATACCACTATACGTGATCTATGTGCCTCGTCGTCCTGAAATGCGCACCATCATCTATGTCGATCTCCGATGGCTGAGGTTGTATGCAAGCGAGAAACTGTTGCGCTGGGCTTTGACAAACTCAACTCCGTGTGCGGCGGGTTTCGCGTCTTGTAATGGCTGTGTAGCACATGAAATTTAACATGATATGATAGGCATCTGTTATATATTTGGAAAATGAGTCGGTGCCATTTACTGCCTGCCGGTGAGGGCTAAAGCATTGCATGCCCTACATCGAGCCTCTCGGATGCTATAGGCTGTGATTCACCTGTGGAATCATCGGACTTTCTGTAGATTGCGTCGTCGTAATCAGCCATGTGTATGTTACAGTATGTCACTAAATGTTGAACAGGGTTCTTACCGCCTGAAATATCTGAGGTAGCAAAGATCGCGCCTGCTACCTTAGGTGCGCTCTCCCCTGCTGCAACCTTTACAAACCAAGAAAAATCGTAAGCTGATTCAAGTGAAGCCGATGAAATTGATATTATACGGCACGGCATTCTCAGGAAGACGAGTGTCTCGCCGTATGTGATCCTGGCCGTATGTAACAAAGCTTGAGAGACGTCTGGACATGATCGGCCTATATTAAATATTCATAATCATAATCAATTCGCTCACTATGCAATTTATACAACCGGGACGTGAGATAGTTCAATCCGCAAATTGAATGCGTACGCATGACCGTATTTCGATTGGTGCTATCAGTTAAGCCTGCTTATTGGAAAATCAGTTACATAGAAGCAGCAAAAGTCCGGCCTCGTGACGAGCTACGCGTATAGATAAGCATCTAATGGCCACGTATACCTGCATGCACTGCCCCCATTCGCGTTCTAGCAGCGCGATGCTCCCCCATGAAGACATATCTCCGAAAAGACCATTTTCAACACTGCGAGTCTTGAACTAGGTGTTTTCAGAGTGAACAATTGTCAATTGTGTCCCTTGGCTTCTGTAGAGCACGACGACTAGTTGCATTTTCCGAGCATCGTGAAAACACGAAAGGCTTGCAGTTGACAGCGATGACGACCAGATCACGTCGCCCAAATTGAGGTCGAATTTGAATTTGAGACGACGCTGGAGCGCGGTCACATGACCGCGTCAATCACGTCAGCTCTCGAGTCTCTTGCGCAATCCGAGGCAAATCTCCATTAGCGGCTGACGATAAACGATGGCGTATATAACATCTTCAAGGGGCGGAGGTTCTTAATCGACCGCTCGCAAACTTGCGTCCAGCCATGGAAACGCTCTCTGTCGAACTGCACGCACAAATATTCGAATTCGCCTGCGTGGACGGTGGCGCGACCGCTCGCGCGCTCGCACTCGTCTCGCACTACATTCGCGAAGTCGCTAGACCCTTCTTGTACCAGTCGCTCGGCATCAGCGGCCACACATGCATATCCGAATTGCAGTCACGGCTCGCGTCGCTGCCCCCCTATCTCCGCCGCATTCGCCACCTCTTTCTGTCCGACTGGGAGCTTTCGCGGATTGGCGAGCGTGCATCTTCAGAAGAGAAGGACGTGGAGAGGTACGAACGAGAGAAGATCGCTGCTATGCATATTTTAGCACTGGCTGCACCTACGCTAGAGTCACTCACGATCATCGCCTCATGTCCGTATACCAGCACCTCGCTCATCGCGCACCTATACTCTCTACCGCTTCCGCACCTCCGCGAGCTCTCTATCAGGGGTTTCTACCCGTTTCCAGTTGGGGTAGCGCAGATGCCGGTGCTGGAACGCCTGTATCTTGGGGGGAACCGGAATCCACACGGCCTCCTACGACTAGGAGCCCTGGAGGCAGCATGCCCAGGCCTTACGCACCTTTGTGTTTCCGGGCTAATCTCAGCGGTCTCGTTCGCCAACGAGCTCCGCGAAGCATCACTCCGTCTAGACGACGCGCACCAGGCTAAGTTCCCTGCAGTACTTCCTCGCACCCTTCGACACATTGCGATAAATCCAGGATCCCTGCCGACGAAAACGTCTGCAACAGCACGCATATCACATCAAAAAATGCTCTGCATACTAGAGGAGATGGTTGCTTGTTGTAGCGAAAGTCAACCAGTTCAATTGACGCTGCATAACGAGTCCAAGGATTCTTACAGAGAGATGCTGCGTCATTGGGAAGGGCGATTACTAGGGCACGATGGCTGTTGGCCTTAACCATTACTACCTAGATTTTCATGTGCTACTAGAGTTTCAATTCATTACGACGTTGAAATTGAATCACGAGAATATCGAATGTGAAAGAGGATACCTTGAACGTGGATGTTTGAGGGCGATTTGTATAAGAGGTTGACTGCCACGAGTGCATGACGAGTTGCTGTGGCTGCATGTCCCGGTAGCAGTACCCCGCTGAACATAATTTGCTGCAGGTTCGAATTTCGTTAGGCCCATTATGACCGCACCACATACCATCGAACTGATCTCGTGGTCAGCTGCATAGCTCGCATGGCAGAGGTGAATCCAATTGAGGATATGAGCTAATTGTGCTCACTCCATGGTCCCCACGTGTTCGATTCCACTACAATCAAGCAAAGCGCGGGACGACGGTTCTACACAAAGTTTTTTTTGCGTCGTTTGAGACCTGGAATCACATATCGGAGCAAACAACCAATCACAGAATGACACAGGTGCTCGCTCACCTGTATTGAATCTGCTTGACTCGTGAAATGGCACGAGAATGCAATATGACTCTGCTTACTCTAGCTCTGACATTGTATGAGTTGATCGGATCAAGTTGAAGTTCAATACAGATTCAATGCGCATATAACTACGATTTTGTACGCACAACTACTTATATTGCCTATGAAATGTAAGTACTTTATTATCTAGAATTATCAGAAGTCAGTAGCTCACACAACGAATATGTCTTCGTTGCCCTCTCTTTCCCTTATCACCACCTTCCTCGACGAACCATTACTGGGCCTCTGCCTGTTCGGCGGCTGGTAGTGTCATCCTCGGTCTGTACTAGACCTACTACTTTAACTCTGGATATGGTGATATCTAGCCGAGCCTTGTGGCACATGCTTATCTTCTGATCCCGTACCGCATTATCATTTCACCTCAGCTCCGGGTCATACACAACGCATATAAGGTCTTAGGACCAAGAATGAGATGAGATATTCTTCATTCCGCACCGACCATCATGTCCGACTCCAACATCGCCCCCAGCACCGCAACGAGCGTTCAGCAGACGACTCGGGCAAAGTTACCCTCAGTTAAGCACCCGCTGGATCCCTTGACTCCCGATGAGGTGCGATCTGTGTTTGTTCTGAGAACAGAGATGATGTACTTAAGGAGCGATGCAGATCGTAGCCGTGTCTCTTGCTGTCCGTCGTCACACCGCGGCTAAAACACAGATCAAGGCGATCAGGTTCATTACGAGCTATCTCCTCCCGCCCCCCAAGCGTGCGGTGCTTGCCTTCCTTGGGATCCCGCTCAACCCGGGAGAGCAGCCTGAGCCAGCCACTAAGATCGTGCGCAAGGCCGAAGTTGATGTGCGTGCATGCGTCGTCAGCATGCATCGTCCTGCTGATGAGATCCTCGCGTGATCAGTTCTTTGACGTCGTCACAGGGTATCGTACTACTCGGAGCTTTTGCATATTGTGAACTCACTCGCATGTGCGCTCAGAGATGCATACAATGCTGTCGTCGCACTAACTGATGGTCAATGGGACGTCGAGGCGCTCGAGAAGTTGCCAGAGGGCGTGCAGCCACAGATCTCCGTCGAGGAATTGCTGCTGTGCGAAAAGATCGTTCGAGAGGACAAGGAGGTGCAGAAGCTTGCCGCAGACGTCGGTGAGTGTTTCGCTCGCGCCGTTTGTTTTGCTCTTCTTTCTGACAATCCACAGGCGTACTTCCCGAGCAGCTGCACGCTGACGGCTGGGCGATCGGACACGACGCTCGCTTCCCAAAGCAGAAACGCATCCAACAGGCCCTCCTATTTGCCCGGTTCTCCCAGCACGATAACCTGTATGCGCATCCCATGGTGTGTCCACAGTCTTCCCAATGCTACGCTGTGATGCTAAGTTACCTCTGCGTAGGATTTCATCCCTGTCGTGGATTCGATCGCGATGAAGGTCATCCATATCGATTTCCCGCCGCGCTACCTGCCGCAGGCGTCGTCGGAATCCTTGTTTGCAAAGCATGGCGTTGACGCGGAGCTCTCCATGCCGACGACTGTTCCGCCCCCGCTTGAGGAGAACCAGCTCGTCGCGGCGAAGCGTGAGCGCATCCCTCCTCCGCGCGAGTCGTGGGACTTCCTGCCGGACCTCATGGCCCAGAAGTCTGGGGAAACCTTCAAGGTTCGGGACGACATCAAGCCGCTGCACGTCGTGCAGCCAGAGGGTGTCAGCTTCAAGATTTCCGGAAACGAATTGGAGTGGCAGAAGTGGAAAATGCATATCGGTGAGTGGCATCCATTAAAGGTGGGACGTCGGGTGGCTGAGGCCATGTGCAGCGTTTCATCACCGGGAGGGCATTGCACTATCGACAATCACGTACAACGATGACGGGAATGTGCGGCCGATCTTTTACCGGCTCTCGCTGTCCGAGATGGTCGTCCCATACGGTGCTCCTGAACACCCGCATCCCAGGAAACATGCATTCGACGTGTGAGTGCTCCCACGTACACGCGTGGGCGGTGGTTTGACGGAAAGTATGCAGGGGTGAATATGGCATGGGGACGATGGCCAACGAGCTCTCGCTTGGCTGCGACTGCCTTGGTCAGATCCATTATCTCGTGAGCGGCGCAGTGTATTTGTGTTGTGCTGAAGCTGATGAATCGCACAGCCCGGCGCGTACGTCGCACATGATGGCACGGCCGTGGTTATCAAGAACGTCATTTGTATCCACGAGGAGGACGCAGGTCTGCTATGGAAACACACAGACTTTCGTGTAGGCGGTCGTGCGCACGCCGTGCGCAGTCGTCGACTGGTCGTCAGCATGATCTGCACGCTCGCGAACTACGGTAAGTATCATGCGCCCGCTAGCTGTGGCTATCTTACGGAAACCTCCATGCATCAGAGTACATCTGGAACTACTACTTTTACCAGGACGGCAACATCGAGCTGGAGATCCGGCTCACGGGTATCGTCCAGGTGTATGCAAAGGCGGACGACGAGCCGAGCAAGTTCGGGACGACGCTCGCGCCGGGGATTAACGCGCATTACCACCAACACCTGTTCTCGATACGCGTGGACCCGATGGTGGACGGGCTGCACAACACGGTCGTGGAGACGGACGTGGTTCCTCTCACGGACGCGCCGACGGGGTCGACGGCGAACTACGCAGGGAATGCGTTCCACACCGAGGACCGGCTGATCGCTGTGCAGAAGGACGGCGCACGCGAGATCAGCCATGAGAAGGATCGTCGGTGGTCGATCATCAACCCCAAGAAGCGCCATCCGTACTCGGGCAAGTTCGTCGGGTACTCCATCGCGGGTCTCAACGGCGCTCACGCACGGCTTCTCACCCAACACGACGGCCCCGTCGGTGTCAGAGCGCCTTTTGCCACGAAGGCGCTCTGGGTCGTGAAGGATGTCGAGACGCCTTTGGGCGGGAGGATGTGGCCGTCGGGCAAGTACGTTCCCCAGACGAGGGAGACACCCAAGGATTCCCTTCCTGTGTGGTGCCAGGGTGAGGACAAGCTGACGGAAGAGGATCTTCTCCTCTACATTACGACTGGTGCGTATCTTCTGGGATGGGTTCGTACACGAGTGCGTTGGCATTGACCCCCTCGCACAGGGGTCACGCACATCCCACGTCCGGAGGACTGGCCTGTGATGCCGGTGGAGCACGTCCGCCTGCTTTTCCGGCCGACGAGCTTTTTCAAAAGCAACCCCAGCATGGACGTCCCCGGGGCGAACGATAAGCAGAGCGTTGCGGCATTCGCGCAAGATAGCTGCTGCGCGAATGACGCCTGAGCTTGCGGCCGGCAGAGCATTTCTTGGAGATGCGGTAGAAGTCAATCAATGTGCAATCAACAATGTATCCGTTATCGTGTATCCGTAAATACGACTGAATTGAGCCTTTTGCTGGAGCCTTTGGGCGATGTGACTATCAGAGGTTCCGCAACGCAATCGCAGTGGTGCGGCAACTAAGCCAATTTCGGGCAGAGCTAGCTCTCCGTGGGGGTATTTTAGGATTTTGGACGACATCTGCCGCCATCGAGTTGCATGCTGTTTTCACATGCAAGGGAACAACGAGGCTTTCCCGTGCGCGCAAAAGAGGCTTTTCAGGGCATCTATCGAGTTTTGATTGAGACGGCGAGCACGGGGTGTTCGTTGTATAGCTCCATCGCGATCAGCTCCGGGACCAAGAGCAGTCGCATGTCCTGCTCTGCCCCGGAGCCCGCAGGACCGATTGATGGACAGGTCCGGGTGCCATTCGCTGCGTGAGGCATAGCCGGCATCGTGGTGATGCGGCTGACAGAGCGCGGAGAAAAGGTGCACGACTGTCTGTTCTCTCCCTGCCCGCCCCATCCACAATGAACTGCACAGCTTCCGCGAAATCAGGACAGGATATTCCAGAACAGTAAAGCGTCCGAGACGCCCCGGGACCTCATTGGGGTAAGTATGAGAAAGACAAGGACGAGGACAAGCCGCCAAATCGGCCAGTGACGGTAGACTTTGCGTCTCGTGTGCAGAGTCCGACGTTTGTTCGACGACGGCCGCCGGGCGAGGCACTTGGGCGGGGCAGGTGCAGGATCGCACCCTGATGTGCGGCAACACGAGTGCTCCATCGGAGCACCAGAACGATAGGCCCACGGGACAGGATCCGCGCACTCAACCCCGGAACAGTGCACGCCCCACTGCCTGCATGATCCTCGGGGCCCACACTGCACGCGCGAGCACACCGGCGCACTGGAAGCTCGCCAGACGCACCGGACTGCATCGCCCGGAGATGGCACAGCGGAACGGGAGATGCGCGCCCCCCCTCCCCCCGCCCGCGCTGCGCTGCGCTGGCGCCGCCGTATCGATTGACATCGCTCACGTTGCCCTGGGACATCCGTCGCCCGCGTCTTCTAGCGCGCCCGTGGGGGCACCGATGGCTACCGAGCGGGACCGAGGACGCTTCGGATACTCCGCGCGGCAGGCAGCGCACAGAAGGCGCGGTGCGGCCCACGGGGTTGCAGCGGGCTAAGTCCGGATGGAGGGACGCGTGGTGCGCGCGAGGCTGGCGCAGGTGCGGCGCTGACCCAGCGGATTTCCCATGCGATGCGAGATACGAGTTGGCACAGACACAGACGTGATAGCAGATGGCACCGATGCGTGCCACGATGGGTGCACCGAAGATCCTGCACGGCGACGGTGCGATGCACGCGGCCAGCACGCCCACCCGTGCGTTTTGTCTTCCTGCTCGTGCGGCCGACGATAAGGCGGGGCGGCGCTCGCGTGGGCACGCAGGGGGACGAGTGTGGGTGCGCGTCGGACAATTTCGCAGGCTTTGATCGCCGGAATATGAACGGTCAGGGTCAGATCAGCTCCATCACACTCGCTACACCAGCAGCGCGCCGTTCGCACACATACAACATGTTAATTATCAGCAAACCCAGGTGACGTCCTCGCCCCCCCCCC